AGGCCACTTAGCGCATACGAAGGCGAAGGCGAGCTACGGCGAGACGCAAACACTTCACAAAATAACAAACGATCTACGTAAACAATTTGGTGATTTTGTAAAATAAATTACATTGAAGCTTCATAAAAAAATTTATGAAGTATTCCAGTATTGTGCTCATAATCACAGTTGCCACATTGGTCATTTGTGACCAAAATAGGTAACTTTTTGGAGTGCTTGGCAACTTGGCAACTTTTTTTTTTATTTTGGTCACTTTTGGTAAGTTTGCCGTGTATAAAGTCAGACTAAAAAAGTTGGACTAAATTTGATAAATTTTTTGGTGGTTATGTGTAGCGGTGACAGCACTACTAGAAACAATTGCAATGATCAGGCAACACAGCGCTCTAGAAAAATAAATAATCACATATGGAAGAAAATTATCGCTACTCGCTAATTTATCACCGTGTAGGGCGCCTGTCACACGTTCAATATTTATTGTGAAGTTTGGATCGTGATCTATAGTGATGGATTTCAAACTTGTAATGGATCACGCGGGAATGCTACATCTTCAATATTTATTGCGTCAGTATTTACATGTTTTTATATTGAGGGTTTAAAGTCCAATAAAATTTTTTTTGTCGTGTGGCAACCGTGCTCGTAATAAAGGAGAGCAAGCAGCAAATAGTAAAAAAAAAGTTAAAATAGCAAGGTCAAGTTTGTGCTTCCAAAACTACTTAAGTACCTTTTGTGAAGCGAATTCAATAAGCAAGAAGTAATAGTTAAATGTGACGGTTTGTAATCGTATTTGGTTTGCTGAGTTTGTCACGTGTAGCGGTAAAGTGCTTATACTCGTGTTACACGCAGACATGCAATCACAAATTTATAGACGAGTGGAGGCGGAAGCTGGGGGAAGGCGGTCATTACGAGTTCGAGTATTTAAGCATTTAATTTGTTTTATAGCAGCAACGCGTTTAACTGTTAATTACAGCAATTAAATTGTGGCTAAAAGGTTGTCGATATAGTTGTACGTACTTCTGCCAATGCGACTGTCGTGTATTCACTACATTTACATATTACAACCATTTGCATATAGCGAGCACTTATATTGGTAAATTGCTTAACTTATTTTATTGATTTCAATTGTTTCTTGCTTTATTGCTCTCTCACCCTACATACATATGTATGTATGTACGTATGTATGTATGTATTTGTGTACTTCGCGCTACCGACGCAGTTGCCATTGGCTAAATTAAATTTGTTATATATAGCGCTTTGGCTAGTTAAACGGTAAGTAAGTGTATGATAAATACCTGCCAAGGAGATGCATGATTAAAAACAAAACTGAACGAAACTTTTGTGAAACAAAAAAATCAGCAGCTCGTTATGCAATAAATACTTCACTATATGGTATGCAAAAAAATTGCTCATCCTTATGGGGACGGCGAAAAATTCGAAAGCATTTTGAAAGCATAACCGACCAAGCGTGGCGTTAGTGGGTGTGCAACTGAAGATGATACAAATGAATGTACTGCATATGTAGATATATATTTATGTATATTGAGTAATGCAGCTTAACAATGTTTGACTCACTTTCTTGACCCAAATTTCAAGTAGACGACTATGTAGGCTGCTAACATATGTAGCATACAATTCGATATTAGGCAGTGGTTGGGCACGATTAAGATTGAGATTGAGATTAGGATGAATATTAAGAATAAAATTAAATTTAAAATTAAGGTTTAAATTTAGATTAAATTAAGTATAAGATTGTGATCAAAATTAAGACTAATTTAAGATTAAGATTATGATTAAGACAAAGAGTAAAATTAAAATTGAGATTAACATTAAAACAACGATTAAGACTTTAAGACTTATATTAAAATTTTGGTTAAGACCAAGATTAAAATTGAGACTAAGCTTAAGTTAGTATTAAGATTAAAGTTGAGATAAAGATTAAGATAAAGAATGAGGTTAAAATTAACATTAGGATAACAATTAAGATTAAGATTGAAGTTAAGATTAAGATAAATATTAACAATAAGATTAAAATAAGATTAGAATTACAATTAATTTTGAGATTAAGATTAATTAAGTTTAAGATTATGATTAGGACTAAAAGTAAGATTAAAATCGAGATTAAGATTAAGATTGAGATTAGGGTAAAGATTAAAGCTAAGATTAAAGTCAAAAGAGTAAGATTAAAATTGAGATTAAGATATAGATTAAAATTATGATTAAGAAAAAGACTAAAATCAGGATTAGGATTACAATCAAGATTAGGATTACAATGAATATTAGGATGAGAGTTTAGATTAAGACAAATCTTAAGTTAAAGGTTAAGAATTACATGAAATCTTAAAATAAAATTTAAGTTAAGATTATGATTAGAACTAAGAGTATGATCAAACTTAAGATTGAGATTAAGATTAGGATTAAACTTAAGACTAAGATTAATGTTAAGAATAATTTGAAATTAAGAATAAGATAAACATTAAGAAATATATAAGAATTAAATTTATGATTACAATTAAGATTAAGGGAAAGATTAAAATTATAGTTGTGATTACAATCAAGAATACGACTAGGGTTGAGATTAAAATTAAGAATAAGATTTATTAAATAATAAAATTAATATTAAGGTTACTTTGAGATTAAAATTAAGATTAAGATAAAAGTCAAGATTAAAATCACTATTCAGGTTGAGATTAATATTGAGATTGAGATTAAGATTAAGATAATTGAGCACAATCAAAGCAATTGTTAGGTCCTTTATGCTGGATTTCCACTACGCATTAAATGGCAAAAATGACAAATGACAGAGTTTTGCATTACAAAATATTCGTGGCATTACGATAAAAAAATGGTCACTAAGTTCATTTCCACAAACATAGCATTCTTTTAAATGGCATATATTTTTTGTCATTTCAATACCTAGTGGAAATTCAGCATTAGAATGGTGAGAATATCGGACCACATTTGCAACTAGATCGAACAAATGCTTAGGAACAGAATCATAGTTTCAACCATTGGTTCAGTAACGCTATCCCGTTATGCAAATATAGGCACTCCCCATGTGGGAATTCTGTGTCCGCTACTAAGTATGCGTGGTGGTACTGAATGACATTCTACTGGATATATGCAGATAATGTAGTGGTGGCGGTATCAGGTCTCTTCCCCCCAACGATTTGCGAAATCATAGAGGGAGCTTTGCTCGGGTGTTCTCTGAAGCCTTGAATGTCTCTCTCCCGTTCCGACTACCGAACTTTGCTAGCATATATACTGGCATATGAGTAAAAGGAATACGAAGTTACCTTTCAGCCACGAGTCGAATCCACACACAGGCAGGTAAATTGTGTTTTTAATTCACACTACAAAAATAAAGTTTCTCTCAGATTAGCAAAGATACAAGTGTTTAGAACTTGTAAAGGCATGGGGTCATCCACCAATGTTTAGGGATGATACTCATTTCTTTATACTCGAACAAGACGAGATGAGAACAGAAATAATGCGGCTGTTCAAGGCCGACGTCGAAAAGCTCACAAATGGGAACGTCGTAACTCAAAAATACAAAAATGCGAGCAGAATGCTTTAAAGTTTTTAGTTAGGGTTTCCACACAGGCCTACAAGTTATCAGCACAATCGCATGAGTAAATTCAGCCATCTATGATTAGTGTTGAGGGGCCCAAAGAAGTATCTCATACAGCGGAACTGAAGGAGGGGCCTTGAAGCAAGTTATAAAAAAAAATCACAAATCTAGACTCAATTGTTAAGCTAAATAAGGCTATATTGAGAAATTAGTCGCTCTTTTGGCGGACGAATATCTTTAATTTAAGAAGTTACTTATCAAACTGCCCTCGTGTTTTTATGGCCAGGAAATACTCGACGTACAAAGTAACATTTCGAATCGAGAACTTAACAACAGCTGAGTTTACATGTAGATTAGAGCGTAAAAAGTAAAAACAAGTCCGCCGTACACTCTTGAGTCTAAAGTATTGTTGCAAGGCAATTTCGAGATTTTTTGTTGTTTTTTTTTGGCTGAACCTAGGTGCAGAATTATTACATTTGATTTCATTCCTTATCATACACGTTACTGTTCCAACGAAACGTCTCCTAGTAGCTTCGATACCACCCCTATTCTTTTAGGCGATGACTGGTTGGATGGGTCTTCTGCCAGGAGCTCCCCATCAGAACTTAGTTCAAGCTTTCGGACTGCAGCAGCGTCTTTCAAGGGGTAATATGATAAACAGTGGCCTCACTATCCAGCCAGCTATCAGGGTCCTGAACGCAATCGAAGCTGGTCGGGAAATGTCTGCCATCCCTCTCAACCGCGTCGGTGTGTCAGAGTAATTCCTTATCGGGCTCATTTGGGTTCCGGGCTATAGCGACATTTGGGAAGCTGAATGGCTCACGACTTGGCAAGGCAAGGCACCCATGGAATTTTATCGCCAAATAGGGAACAGCTGGAACTTTTCCGACCACTTGTGGTTCACACTGGGTGAAAAACTATGACATGTGCAATTGCAAGATCCCTTTGGCCTATGGTGGGTCCTTACGCTCACAAAGCCTTAGCACTTGCTGTTGGTGGGGGTTCTGACAGGCCACTGTACGATTGGAATTCAAGCGGTAAGGTTACCTAAGGGCTACATATGACGAGCTGGAATCATCCAAAAACTTTCTTTTAAATTGTCCAGCATTGACGAGGCTAAGATGGACACATTTTTACTCGTACTTCCTGACTAGCCGCCGACTAGTAAGCCACATTTGTGACTTTGTAATCAGCTCAAAACGTTTCGCAGACTAATAGTCTCCGTACAGACAGATAGATCTTCTTAATGTCCAAAGTGCATTCCTCATCTATGGCAACCACCGCAACCTAACCTAATCTAACCTACAATATAATTCCTTTCAAATTAATTTACTTTTTATTACTTCCAAACCCATTTAAAATTTTGCAAACACAATTCACATTCCATTTTTTATAACAAATTCGTTTTTATTATTTACTAAAACTGCAAAGGCATTAAAAATTAATTAAAAAACGTAAAACAAAACAAAATATTATTTGATTGCTTGTGAATGTTTGTATGCAGAATATGTGTTGGTATGTTTTGTGCATTTAGAGCTTAACATGTGCTGTATGCTGAGGCGTATATGTATGTACGTGTTTCTAAGTCGGTAGGAAGGATGTGCTTAGAACATCTTCTAAATTCATCACCATCCTCTTTCAGTTTCATCTTCGTTGTCGATGACTATTTGACTACATAAATACGTATAATTTTACTTATTGTTAGAGTGCACTTCTTTTACTTCTTCTTCAAGAAGAAGCGATGGCTGGGTGGTCCATATTGGGCCGATGGCAAATGCGTTGGCTCTTCCACCACTATGGGCGCCATGCTTTCTGGTGCCAAATACTGATTGCTGGGCGCTTGAGCAGTGGGCTGTGGCTGTGGCTGTTCGCCAGCAGCAAAAGGCAACGTGGTCGGCAACTCAAAAGCATCTGTTGGCAAATCGTTCGCAAATTTTGGCTGTTGTTCGAGCGATTGTGGCTGCTCTGGCTGCAACGCAGGTTGAATGGTGGTGAGCGGCGCAGTAAGATCCGCTGCAAATTCATCAGCTGCAGGCGCGCTATACTCGCTGGCAGGCACATCAGCATTACGTGGATCCATATCGGTAGCGATGAAGTTGTTATTTCCGTTGCCATTTTCACCTTGTTGTTGTTGTTGTTGTTGTGGTGGTGGTCCATAGACAGGTGCTTCATCCTTCTTGGTCTTATATTTGATGAAGTACACCTCGGGTTTGGATGGCTTAGTCGGCGCAGCAGTGGGAATAACAATATCCGTGTTGGCTTCGGGTTTCTTGTGCAGTACATAGATGAGAGTCTTCTCTTCGTTTTGTGGTGGTGGTGGGACAACTGGTGGACGTATGGCTGGTGGCGCAGGTGCCTTAATGAAGACAATTTTATAGTGTTTTTGCTTAGCGGCAGGTGCATGATGTACACGTGTCTGAATCACATCCTCTTCCTCGAAGTCCTTGGGTGGCACATGAACATAGACGTGCTTATGTACGGTGGTGGGTTGTGGCGCATATGGATAGCCGCCATTCTGGGGAATGCTCGAGTCCAGGTAGGCAGCATTGTACGAGTCTTGTTGATCGAGTGGCAGAGGTTGAATTTGGTGTTGGCTGGCATCGGCGTTTCCAGCTGGCAGAGCAGGTTGTTCGAGGCTATTCAGCGAGGGTTCGGAGGAGGGCGGCGTGCCATAGGTGGTAGGTGGAGGTGCGGCAAAATTGGCGAAGCTCTGATCGGAAGGCAGTTGCTGATGGATGAGCGGTTGGGAGGCGTGGTCTGCAGGAGAGAAAAAGAGAGTGAGAGAGGGAATTAGTGCGTAAATGACAGGGTGTGGACACGTTGGTTAGGATGTGTGGACGAAAGTGGATTTTTTTTATGAACATTCTTTTTAGCCTCTCGAGTGAAATTAGCGAACAAAAATTGTTTTAAATTATATGTAGAAACAATTTTCATTTTTAGTTAGCATTTAGCTTTTAGTATGTTGTTAAAATAAATTTAATATTTTTTTTTTTTTGCATTTCCCCACCGCAAATTGTTATTGATTTCAAAGTAGTATATACTTAATTTAAAATTCTTTGTTTTAAGTTTTGCGTGGTCTTTAAGCTCGCTATTGTTAAATGCAAATTAGCTAAACCTTGAAAAAAGTTTAATTTTTGCTTATGCAATATTCCTCAATTTTTACGATGAAAAAATACTATGGCATATTATTATACCGGTACAATAATTTTCAACGATTCAATGCAAAAAATCCACCATGATTTAAAAAATTTACTATATTGAATTTTATTTAAAAAATGTTTTTAATTTTTAATACACTTTTTTCAGTTTAGAACTTTTTATTAGTAAAAATTAGTTTTTCAAAACTTTGATATTTTTACGCTTCAATTTTTTTCACATTTTTCTAATTTTTATTTTTTTTTCAGATTTTTTATTATTTTTTCAGATTATTTATTACTTCTTCAGATTTTTTTTTTGCAGTCCATTACTTTTTTTAAACAATTTTTACCACTTATTTGTTTATTTAGTTATTATTCATTCACTAACTTTGTAGTAATCCATTGTAGGTGTAACCAGCCTCAGGACGCGCTAACGCGCTCGCCAATAAGCAGCTCACTAACACAAAGGCACGCATTATGGCACAAAAAAAGGCGCAAAATAAACTTCGTATGTCCTTAAATTAATTTTGCAAAAAAAAACAAAAAACCAAGTATTCCAACTAATTTGTTGCTTTGTTATCCACCGGAAGCCAGCAGTCGGTAGCTTGCAAGGAAGCTTTGTAGGGAAGAGCAAGTCACGAACTGATGCCAAACCAAGTGCTACAACTTTAATTTATATGTTTTCGAACTGATGCGCGATGCAACAATTGACGTGCGGCATTTAACACTTGAACTACCATACAAAATAATAACAATAAAAACAAAAACTACACCTGCAAAAGAAGACAAAAAACCTACTCGAAGCATTCACAAGTTCCAAATTTTTGCCTTTACCAAAATACCATTTAAATTTGTAATTGAACTTTGGCGATACAAACGCGGCGAAAAGACATCGAACAACCAGTTAATGAACGGCAATGATAGCGGACGCAAAGAAGAGCAAATTGAAAGAAATACAGAGGAAAGAGAGCAAACCCAACGACTTGCTGGACAACCAAAATTAATGATTTTTGGCCGATTTTGGGCCGTTGCAGAAAGCAAATACAGCAAATGCAAGTTGGCCAATAACGCAAAAATATAATAATTATAATTAAGCGGAATATAAGTACATATACATAGTAAATAATTTATGTATGTATGTATATCTATGAAAATATAGCAAAAACTATGTGCCACAAGTGTAAGTTACATACATATTTTCAACCAAAAGCAGGGAAAATACATACATACATATGTATTTTCAACGAGCTACTCACATTTTTAGAAACTCTACTCCTTGGGTTTCGCTGTCTGAAATGATTAAGAATTAAAATAAAAAAAGAGTTATTGTTCGCATATTCTTTGAGTGTTCAAATAAAAAGCCTTCGATGAAGTGCCATGCATCCAGTAAAAGGTGTATGAAGACTAACAGCAACAACAACAACCACATAAAACGCACACACACACACAAATACCTAAAAACACACTCCTATATGTTAGGCAAACTGGAGCTCTTTTCATGGCTTGTCAAATTAAAATTTTGAGCTTTGCGCTTGAGTGTGTGCCCGTATTGTGCGCTCATACATACAAACACACACACACACACACACACACACACACATACATACATAAGTGTGTACGATAAGTGGCTGCTTGCCATTGTTGTTTCGGTTATAATTGTTTTTGGTTTTTTGGTTTGATGTTTCAGCTGCCACTTGTTTGCAATTGTACGAGTATCTTGAATTGAAACTGAAAGTCATAAAGTTGTGTGCAGCTAGTGCGAGTATTTATTTATCTACCATTAAATATGTATAACTTTTTGTAATTAAAATTTAATTTGATTCATTCATAAATTGTTTAGTCAATTAGTGCACCTTTTTTTTAATTACACGAACAGTGTTGCCAGAACATTTTGGCACGACCGGCTAAATTGGCCAAAAAACGGCTAAATTATTTAAACTAAATTACAAGTAGAAATACTAATAAATTTATTAATTTTTTTTTTTAGTTACAAGGTTACACATAGTTTAGCTTTACACCACCCATTAAATAAATCACAAAAACAGAGACTGGAAACTCATTACGTCAGAGAGCAATAATAAGCAACAATAGAGGATGTTAGCACCATGTTAAAATGATTCATAGGTATTGCCTTCCCACAGTTTTGCTTCACATCGAAATTCGTACTCTTTTCTTCTCATCCGTTTTTTTTTCTAAGTGTTGCGAATAAAATTTCACACTTAAATTTAAGACTTTCATAACCTAAATTTTATGAAAAATCCCCGCTACATCCTTTGGAAAAATACGTTGACCCAACTCCAAAATGGAACATTTAAGCAAGTTTTGGCTATTTTCCTTTGGTTTATTCAATGTCTGTTATTTTTTTTTATGAAAATATAGCTGATTACTTAACAAACACCATATAACTCCAAGTCTCCGACCTTAAGGTGGTTTGAATTGAGCTGTGGTGAGTTGAATTGAAATGCATTGGACAACATAGCATATTATAACATAACACATAATATAACATGACATGGCATAACATAACATATCTCATTCTTCAATATTATCTTTTTCTGTCTCAATCTTTATCTCTATCGCTATCTCTATATCTACATATATTTGTCTTTATATACTTCATCCTTGCCTGTTTTTTTACGGAAAATTTACGTGATGGACTTTTTCTAATATTTTTTTTGTTGGTCGTAGCTTAATACCTAATACCCACCGAAATTGTTTACTAGTAAATTAATTTTTTTCTAGATGAAAGTTGATGAGATTTTGAAGAGACCTGTCGAGCCCGATTTTTTAATTTTTTATTTGTTTATATTAAACTTTCTAGTGCAAAATGACAGAGAAACTGGAAATTTTTACGAAAATTGATTCTCCTGTTCAAGTTATAAATGTTAAATAATAAAAACTAGTTTAAATTAATTGTAGAGTTCCCGCAAAACAGAAAAAAATCACAAGAAAAATTTTAAGTGTTTAAAAAAATTAGCAAAATTAAACAAAGTTTCACGAAAATTTTATTTTTGTAATTTATTTTTAGAAAAATGATTCGAAATGAACGCGAACTTTAAGCCAATTGCAACTTGCACCGTATTATACTAAAATTTAATGATTTATTTATGAATGCACTCCTAAAATTTTTCTATAAACTCAGAACAAAATACTTTAATTTTACAGAACAATTTTTTAAACATTTAAAATTTTTTCATTTTGAGTGTACGGAACACTTGGTGCATTTGATTTTTATTATGTAACATTTATTAAGTGGAACAGGAAATCCAAGTTCTAAAAAATTTCCAGTTTCTTTGTACTTTTCACTAAAAAATTTTATATACAGTGACGAACAAAAGTATTGGCACAGTGAATTTTTCGCCATATATTCAATGTTTTTGAAGTGAAACTTCTTTAGCGGCGGTTGGTTGGTTGGGAGTAAATTGGCAAATTCTGCGGAAATTGCACACGGAAATGGTGCAACGGAAATGATTGGGGCTGAAACAAGTACTTCTTGTGTATATGCAATGGAAATGATGCAACAGAAATGATGCAACGGAAATGGTGCAACGGAAATGGTGCAACGGAAATGGTTGGGGCTGAAACAAGTGCTTCTTAAGTGTATGCATATGGTATCTATAAATTTAACAAAAATTTGCCAACAAAAGGTTAAAGAATAACACTTAGAAAAATACCAATACAAGAATGAAAGTAAAGGTGACTACGTACATAAATGAAGAATAGGATAAAGGCAAAGGTAAACATAACAAAAAAAACAAAGATGCATAAAGATAAAGGCAAAAATGAAGACCAAGGTAAATCTAAACACTTTACTTGTATATATAAGAACAAATGTGAAGGGGAATATGTAGCTGAAAAAAATGATGAACATAAAAGTAAAGACGAAGAGGAGGATGAGGATACCGATAAAAACAAAGATGAAGATAGGGGAAGAATGATTAAAATAGAGGTAATTAAAGAGGAAAGGATATAGAGAGAGACACAGAGACACAATCTGGGAACTATTTTTGGATTTTAGAGATTTTCGGGATTCTCGAGACCTACCGACAAAATAATCGATATTTTTATCGGTTTTGTTATCGATTTTGTTATCGATATTTATCGATTT